GCATTTGCTCTGTCGCCTACGGAATACATGTATTCGACTACACCTATGCCTTCTTCCTCACTATGGGAAGCTTCGAGACGCTACAGTATCTAGACTCTAAAAATATGTGGCGTTTTTTGCAATTGGCACAGGATACAGGTGAAATTTGAAGGGAGGAATGTATGCATACGTTTCCCTACAGAGAAAGTTTAGCACGCGCCTCCAGCATAAGCTCGGTATGGCTATTCTGCCCCTCTCCGTCAGAAAGAATATAAGCATGTAATCTAAATAACAATTTTTGGCCAAGTGTAAGTTATTTTATTTTACCTAATTGTTATTTGATAAATACTCCAAATGATTGAACTTCGTTTAAAAATGTTCTAGATGGACCCCAAAGGTTAACAATAATTTTTCGCATTGGCTTACAAAGAATAAGATGAATATTATTATCGGCTCTTTTTCATTCGCAAATCAAGAAATTATATCATCGTATTGTTTAAATCATCATTTTATAATGGTTTATTTAAGTCCTCTTTCTGAGCACTTGTAGCACACTTTGGCGGCTTGTTGGTAATCGTAGTACGTTTTTGCTAGTCGGTTTACTTCTACTTGATGCTTTTTAAATGGAGTTGTTGCATTTTTAACGAACTTCATGAGAAGAGCTGTACCCAAAGTGTATGATGTAGCTACCTTCATTTTTTTGCTATGTGAATTTGTTGGTTGGGCTGTTGTCTTTATGGTGCTGTCATTATTATCAACGCCGCTCTATAATTTTTAGGGTTTGATAGTTTTTTTCACTTTTGATTTTTGGATTTCATTCTCTTTGTTGACGCTATAAAGACCATCTTTGTGCTCGCTGTTACCTAGTCTCGATACCGTTGCCTTCATGTGCATAACTAGAATGCTTCTTTTTACCACTTTCCATGAGGCACAGTGCCTTTGTATGTTGTGTCATCTTTTGTCTGTACTCAGTGCAGTGCTGCTGTGCTGTGCAATTGCCAGAGAATATCTGCGTGCTTGATCGAATTTGTTGAGTGCTACATATGTTTACTGGGAGGTTATTATTTGGTCTGTACCAGTGAGGTTTCTTTCTAGAATGATTGAGATAACAGCTAACGATCGTCTGGGAAAGAAGGTGCGGGTTAAGTGCAACCCAACCGACACCATTGGAGACTTGAAGAAGTTGATAGCAGCACAAACAGGGACAAAATGGGATCGAATAATTCTCAAGAAATGGTACAACGTTTACAAGGATCCTGTTACTTTGGCGGACTACGAAATTAAAGATGGAATGAACCTGGAACTTTATTACAAATAAATTTAATGCGGTATACGTTGTTTGTTAATTTTTACAAATAATGAAGGAATATTTTGCGTCGCTTTTGCTTTGCTTTCTAGTCAGTGTTCCTGTCACCAGTTGTTAGTTTTTTTGTTGGAGTCAAAAAGACGGATTTGGCTGTCAGTTTCAAATCTCTAGTCGCTTTTATTTCTCGTAGTATCGAGCAAAGGCTCCCTTAGAGGGTTCTGAAGAGTGGATAAACTTTGGTTTCCATGTTCTAGGCTTTCTTGAGAATGAAAGGAGGTATGTTTCTCGGATAGCATGTTGGGTCCACTAGCATGGTCTAAAGGCTAATCACCCAGGGTGTTGTATTTGAAAGTTGGAGTTAAATGAAGAGTGAGATATGTTACACTAGGGTCCTTCCGCACTAGTTGAATGCTGGTTGCATCATCAGGTGAATTAGGGATTTGGAATTGGCTGGTCGATCACCAATTTCATCCACGGAAGGAAGAGGGCGAATTCAAGTACTGCAATTTGAGGTTCGTTTTTCACCCACAAGGGATGTTCGTGTTGCAGTCACGCAGGTAGCTGAACTGTAGGGAATGTTTAGCACTTTGTTGGGGGGCGCTCTTTGCCGGATTCAGTGTTATACGGGTGTGGGAGAGCAGGGCATCCAGATCAGATCAGCGATACTACGCATGAATTCAGATACTGTAGGTTGACCAAGCACGGCCTCCATACCTCTGTTAATTACTTTCAGGTGTAAGAATTTGTAGTTAACTTCACAAATTATTCACTTCTTTATTTTTTGAATGCTTTAACAATGCAACATTCTACCCAATAAAATGTGAAAATTTTGAATGCCCCAACTTCAAGTGAATACTGTGAATGCAGCGTAGAAGTAAAACTTACGTTTAAACTTTCTTGATTTTGTAAAAAGGAAATCATAAATCGAAGGGCGTCTCACCGACACCGGAAGGAGTACTTTGAGTTGCCGCAAAATCGCTGTCATTTATGTGCTTAAAAAATGCTCTATCAAAATAATAATCCATTTCGAATCGTCAGATGACATTTCAATCACCGTCAAGTGATCACTCGAGTTGTAAATTTCACTGTGCTAGAATTTTTAGTGTTTTATGGGACTATGCAATCCTCCACTGGGCAGATCGTTATGCATGTTCTTGTGTAGCAATGTTTCGTAGACCCTTCAAAGCCTCAAAAAGTGACATGCTTTGCACACTATGATGTAATTCGAAATGAGAGCGTCGACTTAGCTGGATTCTATGCATTTTTGATAAGCATACATGTGGTCACTTTTGTCCCCAGTTTGTACTCCAAATTCCCTAGAGCTTCCTCCAACCCGTGACGCAAAACACTTCGACCAAAAGAACACGAATGAGGTGATTCCACAGGCGGTGTTACGAGTGAGGAACTTGCTACTCTTCCATGGACACCCCTCCCAACATACCTCGTACATTCTTATCCCCTGTGTGACTGAAAGGTCCGCCCTAATGCGGAAAGGAAGACGGCTTGACGATGGTAACTGTTTCAGGCTTGGGTGAGGGACTTGACTACTGTCATATTTAAAGGATAAAAGGCTAGTCGACACCTTCTAGAAAAGACACCTGTCTAAACGTAACTCTAAGAAATGCATTTTCATAGCTGAACCACGAGCAGTTTAAGGGGACCTCTTTGATTATGTCAGGCAAAACAGACCCGATATCATTAATGTAATGCTGATAGCCATCATCAACGTCAAGGTAAAGAATTTCTTCAGATGG